AATAGATTTTGAGAAAATGTTCTGAACAATGGGAACCCTCCAGTCCTCTCTTTGAACAACTGTTGACCTGGAAAACTATACGAAAATGCGGATATATTTTATGTTTTAACATAAATTGCAGAATAGAAATAATGAATAAAAATGATGGCGGTGGGGTGAGTATGTAGATTCACTTCTTGTAAATGATGGTTCTACTCACAGATTTGTTGTGTTCAGCAATCCGGATATCAAGCATCAAACGCTCATCATCAGGTTGAAGGAGTTACACACGTCACATGAATGCTAGAGTGACCTACCACGTTGGTTGTAGTTGTGTTGTAATTCACGTTTTTCGCACGTCCAAAATTGAGTGGCAGTAAAACCCGCTATTCATTGGAACTTCGCGTGTTGCAACTTCATCAGCCTGATGATGAGCGTTCGATTCTTGAAAGACGGGTCGTGTAAACAACAAATCTGGGACTAGAATCATCGTTTGCAAAAAGTGAAAATATAAACCGTCTTGAAAAAGAAATGCGTATCGAAGATCCATGAAGGATAACGAGCTCTATGCATTATTTGATTTTTTTGAAGATTAAACACATAAACGCAATTATCAACAATAGCCCTGATGAAGAACTTTTTTCGTGTTGTTGTGAACTGACTGAAAATGTACTATTTTCCCAAAAGTGAGCCTAGAAAGGGGAAAAGGGGGAAAAGAGAGGCAGATGGTCCTCGCTTTTGATGATCCAGTGTTAATAGCATGTCACTCAATGCGACCGAACGCGAATTACCGGCGACCCATTGCATTAGCCAACCCTCTCATGCTATGAAACTTCTACTGGCTTTCCTGGACTGGACATTTTCGGATAAGCCATAGATTTGCACATTTTTCCTACCGTGATTTAAAATAATCAAACAATACAGTAGAGTTCTGGTGACATGAATCATATTTAAACAGATTTATGAGGTTCATCAGCAAACAAAACAATGCCGTGGAGAGGTAAGGGCGTCGGAATGTCGGCTTCTAAAACCCGCGGTTTGGGTTCCTGAATTTTGTATCTTTTGTACTGAGATTCAATGGAAAGTGCATTTGGCACCGCGTCCATCAGGTAGGACTATTATATTCCTCTGGGAGTTACAGCACCCCAGTACCCCAGTTCAGACTTTTTACTGGTCTCAATGTTTGATGAATGAGCTTTTATTTATTTAGAATCTTCAATCATATATATTAACGACCTTCAATTTGGTCGTTCCTGGTCATTCTCGTCTGCCTATCATCGCTTACTGATGCCGAAAAGCGCTCGATAGTCAGACCTGGAGGCTCGGTAACGATCTAATTACATGAAATATTTTGATCTAAAGCCTATTAGTACTTTTGAAATAATTGATTAACTACAATGCCAAAAAATGCGGATGTGTTCCAAAACTAGATTATCTCAGCGCGATGAATATTTGAATGGTCTTATATACTCTATATTTAGTCAAAATACATTAGTAAATTGAATGATCATGGTGAGGGCAGAAATTTCAAGGGCGACTGTAGGAATCGAACCGAGTCGACCGTGTAGACTCTGTGCTACTGGCGCCCTCCACTTCCATTGTCCGGGAATTTGATCATTTGATCTGTATCGCCAAATTTTAATTTGCCGGACTATCTTTATTTTAAAAATGAATGAATGAACTAAATCAATAATGGATAAGCAGTCTTTTCCTTTGAGTTACAATACTACGGATTATAACTACAAATCGCCTTTGAAGTCATATTTAAAGCTGCGAAAAACCAGGTTCAAACGGGTCATCAATAAGCTTTTACACCATAAAAGTCTCGATTGAGACAATGGATCGGCTGAAGGGCTAAACAGGCTGTAAAACAGCCGTTCAAAGACGTCCGACCTGTGATGGTTAAACGGATATGACACATCTCATTTTCAAGGTTGCTTTATAAACCATTGAAATGCGGTTTTAACGAAGAAGGGGCGGGTGTGGCTTTAAATAGTTTCATCTTTCAACGGCTCCCTATTAAAATAGGCCCTGGAGGGTAACCACAATAAAAGCGGGGACCCCTCGTTCTCTGTGAACATTTACCGATCCTACTACCAAACCGTCGTCACACCGCTCGTACTCGGAAAAGGGAAAAACAGAAAAACAAAATAAATTATTACCAGTACCAACCCCATTATATACTAGTTTGTACAGGGCACCTTTCACATACTAGTACCTGGAGCCATCCGCCACATACAGAGAAAAACATAAGAATAAATAAGATTTCGTCAACTATCTCAAAAGTCTCTTCAATACCGTTAAAAGGGAAAATTAAAATTATTAAGTTTTCATCGTGCAAACCTTATGTTTTCGTTCTTTCATTACGCGATCAGGGCGAAACGAAGTGGAATTTTTATATAAGTAATCCCATAACATATTTATTTATGATTAACTCAGTTTTTATTAAAAAATAAAAGAACAATGGATTTTCTGGAGCCTAGTTCAACTACAAGTTGGCATTTTTCAATTTGTATTGAACCAACTTCAAACGATGATCCTGGTTCAGCTTTGAACGGACGTCGAGCGTGGGTTAAAACAAGTTCAGAGTTGAACGATGTCCATTTCATAATAATATAACTTGCATGTTATTAAAGACTTCGCGATTCAACGTTTGATGTTTTGTTCACAAGTTTCAATAAAACTTTATCAACTTTTGGTTGGACTCAACTCATTTTATTTCGCATATGTATTTATACTCATCAAATCGTATCATCAACGCTGAGAGGTTCACAAAATCATAAATTTTATCCCAACGACCATAATTTTGTAATAGTGGATCTGGTAATTTATTGTACTTTTATAATTCATTTGACAATAGAACTAAAGCATTTTCCCCTCTATCTATATGAATAATTATGATCATTATTTATCACCTTACAAAGAGGCTACAATCAATTCTACCAACTTGTGGTTGACCTAGGATTAGATTCACGTTGGTCCCCTACAGATGGTGTAAGGGACCTTCTCTAAACTTGTCTCAAATTATAAACGACTTTCCAGTGAACCCGAATTTAACCGTGACTAATGCAACGGTCACAATCTAGTAAATTTAATTTTGTCACATCATCAGGACTGATCCTTATTACTAGTAGTATCTTGGAATTTGATAATTTAGGTCCTTGTTGTCTTCACCACGACAAAAATTTAGAGAAGAGAAATCAGATCTCATTTCTAGTTTTTTACGAACCTATATTTTATTTGTAAATTAATCACTTCATTGTACTAATGATGTTTTTGATATGATTGATAGGTAAATTAACCCTTTGAATACTATTTCAAGTACGTGAATGGCTAGAACGTAAAAAATAAGTTCACTAATTTCGTGGTCCGCTTGACCAATTAATATATTACAATTAATTAAGGTTTTTAGTTGAGATAAAAAAAGGAATGGAAAAATGGCAAAAAGGAGGGAAAACTCAAAAGTTGGTGTCCGAGAGGATCGAGGTCACGATAGCTCAAGTGGTAGAGCAGCGGCGTATCTAGCCGAAGATCGTGGGTTCGAATCCCGCTCGTGCCATTGACTTTTTTATCTCAACTAAAAACCTTAATTAATTGTAAAAAATAAGACTGCAGTTAGCATTAATCGTGAAAGATGACTTCAAAATCTGATTTTAACACTAAATGTGATGTTTTGGACTTAAGTTCTACTTGATTATAGTTTTAAACGAAAGACTAGTTCTAGACTAAATTTTTTCCAATTTCTTTTTGGTTCTGGAAAAATTATCACGCTTGTACCTAGCGCCAGTTTGAAACGAGTTGGAAAAGGTTTTGCTAATTATGGTCAAATGCACAGAATAATAATTTTAGCCCATGTACAATGTTGCCAACAGTTTTTTGATGGATGGAAAAACCGTAGTTTGAGCATTATTAGCTTGGTAGATCAAGATAGACAAAAGTGTAGCTCAAGGCCACAGACCTTACCCTATATATTGTACGTATTATTTAGGTAATTAATTAAGTTTTGGATGTGATATATAAATATATGTAACATAACTGGGAATAACAGGATATGGAATTATTAAAGATAATAGCAAGTCTCATGAAAAAGTATGAAAATAAAGATCGCGTAGCAATTTAATTTTTTTTCTTATATCACATCTTACTGAACTACTGTGATCCTGTATATTGTTTGTAATTGTATGATTTTAATTTATTCACCATCTTATTGTAAATTGAAAATAGCCATTGTTAAACAGGACAGATGACGGAGGAACCTTTGGTGGGAGGTACCGATAGATTTCCACGGATTCACGCTTGAGCAGGAGCGGTCAAGGGACGTAGAGTTTAGTAATTAAGTATAAATCAAAAGTTTAGGATCAACAGGTAAAAAGTACTGGGTATGATTTTTCGCAAAATTGAGACAAAAACAACGTGAGATCCATCTCTTATAGGACATCATTACTTCCGCGCTCATGGCAACTAATTAGACAATCCTATCATCTAAAATAAACCTCAGGATAAAGTTTGATCGAAGATTGACGAAACATATAATAATTTTTTATAGTGAGGTGTAACGACCAATTTTCAGGACCACCCGTCTCTATTGTGATATTTTTCCGAGTGATCGGCGGAGTGATGAACCTGCATTAGGTGGTTCCTTTTCAACCTGGTCAGCCTATCCTCAAGTTGTTTATTATACGACATAATTCATTTTATATTTGTAACAAAATTCAGTTTCACGCTGATGATGTCTGATCGCAATATTATACTTTGGATTCGCTATAAATTCGATTACGGGCTAACGATTAATACAGTCGATTAAAAATCCTTAAACCACCTCTAGAATTAATTAATTTAATCTTTAATCTTAATCTCTTGATTAAGTTTCAACTGTGGATTTCAATATGAAAGCATTTACAGTTATGAATATTTAATATAATTGTTTTATTCTAGAATGTTTGTAGTTGCATGCAAGCTAATGTTAACTTTTTATTTATCATGCAAGGGTTAGAAACAAAAATTATGAAAAATAAACGTACGGCATTTTATTTGGGGAATTCGGCGTTTTGTCTTCTTTGATCGTACTGTTGTTCATTTTTGAAGTGAGCCTTTTGAGGACATCGTCCATAGTCCTTTTCCCGGAAAAGTTGTTGTTGTTATTGTTATGGTTAAGCGTAGTGCTGTTATTGTTAATGTGGAGGCCTTTATCTGTGGGGGATTCGCAGTTGGACTTTGGCCTTGCAGGGTCGATGTCGCTTGAAAATGGCGCCCCGTGCAAAGGGTTGAGAAGAGTTTGGTGTAGGGCCAGCTTCGGCCTGAGATGAGATTCGTCGTATGGGCCCAGCATCCCGTTGTCGAGAAACCTCTTTTTATTCGGCGGAGTCAGCACTTCTTCTTCTGGGGGAATGAGATCTTCCAATTCGCTTCCACCACTTGACGAACTAGAACCGAGCTTATAGAACATTCCACCTCTTTCTTCCCTAATCTCTTCTTCCCCTTCGCCGGCTATCGAATCACCATTCAAACTATTCTCTGTCCCGCCTTCTTCACCGCCTTCTTGCAATTTCGAAGGAGGAGATTTCCTCTTAGACGACATATTTCTAGAACAAAAGAAGCAAACGTATCTCGGTTAATTTCTTTTAGTTTGGTACTGCCTACTGTTATAAATATGACATCGATAACGCTTTTTTTAATCAACTGACTCGGAGAAAAATTCATTCAAGCGGAATATTACACATGAATAACCAGATCCAGCCGCGCTAGACGATTTCTTCTCTAACTGACGTATTTCTGAAATATTTCTCAGTAAATAAACATAACATCTAGATAAGTACAAACCAGCTAGGTGACACCAAAATAATTGTAACGACCAAATTTCAAGGAACCCATCAATATTTGTTTGTACTGCGAGAGTTCTCTGTGTGATCGGCCGAATGATAAACCTGCATTAAGTCGTTACTTGTCATACTGGTCAGCCTATTCTCAATGGGTTTATCAGTCAGCCATGCCGTTTTGCCCTCTCATTTTAGTGTTGGAACTGTGCCCAGAAATCTGAAAGAACTATATATGAGATTTCCCCAAGTTTTCCGATCTTTGTTGGGTTGGTCTGTCAGTTGCGTTTTGGCCACAGACCCAACAGAGAAATGAAATGGCGAATAAACGTCAAGCGAGAAAAAGCAGACAAAAATATTCAATAACAACCAAATTTCAGGTCACCACCCCGCTGACAACACAGATTAAAAATCATTGGTTATCTTCCTAAATTTATAAAAAAAAACTACTTAGTCACGCTTTTTAATTTGAATTTTATAAATAACATTATTAAAGGTTTTAATTATTAAATTCACTAATTTCGTGGTCCGCTTGACCAATTAATATATTACAATTAATTAAGGTTTTTAGTTGAGATAAAAAAGCCGAAGATCATGGGTTCGAATCCCGCTCGTGCCATTGACTTTTTTATCTCAACTAAAAACCTTAATTAATTGTAATGTTTTAATTATTGTTATAAACTATTTTTTAAAGTTTTTAGAGGTTTAAAAATGTTTTATTGTAATCAAATCTATTTATGACAACGTAGCGTAGATCTGAATAAGACTTGGGGTGAAGTTACAATGTTACCGTCTTTAAGACCGCATCCATGATACGTACAAATTGATTAGATTCAAACGATTTTTTTTTTTGCACAATTATAGAAAAACAACTGTAGTAAACAATTATTTAAAAGACGACTAGGCACGGAGAAATTCTCTCTTCAAGAATCTATTTTGTATAAGAAAAATGTGTAACATTTATTCACAATTATAGGTTGTTGACAAATAAATAAATGAAAATAAATAAAATAAAAAATCAATATTTTTTAAAAACTCCCCGCTGCCAATTCGTAGCATAGTAAGAAAGATACAACAAAAATATATTGGTTATAATAGATTAAATAGATTTTGAAAAAATCGTACGGAAGATAGACCAGAAATAGCCTTACCCCATTAGTTATATTTTTCACCTTTCGTTACATTTTTGAGCAATAATGGGCAAATAAATCTACCGAGGAATTGCTTAATAGACCTGGCCTACTAGTAACTAAATGACATTAAAAAAATTGAAAAAGTAATCATAGGAAAAAATCTTTGAATACTTATATTATACTTAAACAGATGCATCATGTCTTTAATGTAAAATGAAGTGGAGAAATAATTGGTATAAACGAGTTACATTGGAAAATCACTATTCGTGAAAAGTTGATATTTTTTACAGGACAGACTTCATTTCAGCTTTTCGAATTTACTTGAATTAAATGAGGAAGTAGAAATCTAATAAAAATGTTTATCAGAAACGTCGACATTTTCCTTGCATTATATATATAAACTTTATGAATGCTTATAGTTTCGTTTCTTTTCTCAAGTTCTCTTTACAATTAAATGAATTGAAAATCGTTCGTTTGTACATCTTTTTTTTAGATGAAGGGAAAAAAAGGTTCTATTTATATCTGGTATTTTCATTAACGTTGTTCGAGCGATTCATCAAAGAGTATCAGAGATGTGACAAACGATTCTTAGACCGCTATCCATTCTCTTTCGAAAATAACTTATTAACAGGAGGTCTTGGCCTGAATGATATGGCGAGCCATTGTTCAATAGTTCCAACTCTCACTATTTTTAACTTGATAGTAACTGATTGTGTTCTTTTCGCTGTCTGTGCCAAATGTAGTATTTATTCTAACACGTACTGGCCAGGCTATTCTTCCCACAACACACTCTTCTCCCCCTTCAGGACTATCTTTTATTCTCGCCGAATCCCAATCTCGAAGCCTGGCCGGTGCCAAGAGAGTAAAATCATATTTTCACGGGCGTATGATTTATCGCTGGCCGATTGATTTCTTAATTTAGGCTCGAGTCTGGGCCAGAGAAACTATTTGCCCAAACAAATGCTGTTTCTTTAACTTATTTTTTTCAAATATAAATAAAAGATTCCTTTTTTGGCCTCATTTCTTTTGTTATTCTCGACTATTTCAAATACGGGATTATCGAGTTTAATCGGTTGTTAATTCGGGCGGTGCCCTGTTTCAAGATTAGCCGCTTTTTTTGAATTGATGCCACCATAAAATGTAACAATAACATCCGCTGTAGCGTTGCGGCCAAACATCTATTCTCTTGACGTAAGAAAATCACATATATTTATTGCATATATTATCATTTAGCCCATGTTTATATCGGTGGTCGTAAATATTTCAAAGGAGGAGTGGACAAAGAGGAAACATTACCGTCGCCAACGGCTGGCGAAATATCGTTGAGCAGGGCTTCCCAAACCCCTTTCACAGAACAAAATCCAAAATTAATGTTTTATGAATTAGCCAGTCAATGCTAATCAGGCGATGAAGGGGGATATCACAATGAAAACAAACATTAGATTGATATACTTAACTTTAGTTACAAAATTCGGAAGACAAAAATCAAAACGGAATCAACGGTTCGACGGAAGCAAACTCGAGCTAAATTCAAAAATAATAATTTGAACATTAATGATTAATGGAAAGAGTGAGGATGTTAGCCTGCACAATTTGTTTGGATACATTGGATTTAATTTTTGATAGCTAAAGGCAAATGTTGGGTTTAGCATGAAGACAGAAAGAAAATACGTATGTGGCAAATGGAAGAAGAAAACGTTTTGCGTTTTCAACGAGCGGTTTTGTTGTCAATTTTTTGTTTTTCAGGCGGAACCAAAAATGGGGTTAAGTATCGGACTCGAAAGTAGATTTCAAAGTGGAGTCAGAAGTAATGTCTATCAAACAATTATAATCACTTTAAGATAGCTTTGTCGAAACTGAAAAATGTTCGACCACCCACCCATTCATGATCTTGCGACATTGTGTCTCGAGCTGTTGGGAAGTAGTGCATAAAAGGACATCTTCAAACTTCAAAGGTGTTCACATATTTCAACAATCAATGTTCGCAAGTTCCAGAATGTTTTCTTTCAAAAAATCATTTAACACGGGAAAAACTCCACTTCTTCCTTCTCAAAAGATTCATCCCAAAACTGGATTTTTCTTTTGAAGGCGCGAACTTTGTCATTAGCATCGAAAGTGATATTCTTCCCTTGCAAAGAAAGAATCACCCCTTTCCTTTTCATGATATATTACCATTTCTCATCATTGAAAACGTTGGCCAATTTGACATTGTGGTCCATCAACAAGATAAGAATTCAGATCATAATTCCTGTATCCGTGAAAGTGCTTTCCCACGAGACAGCCACCTCACTTCTGTATGAGCAATGATGCAGTCTTCCCATATAATCATAATAGTATTGTGAAAAGTCTTCACTTCAAAGACCGCGATTTGATATAATTAATAATTTGAACAGAATCATCCAAAACTTTTTTAAAAGAGGCTGATATTTGTTTGACAGCTAAAGCATGTCAGTGGAGAACACAAAGACTACTGCTGCAATCCTTCGATTTACCTTTTATTTTAACAATCACTCCGATCGTTTGGCCAGTCATCGCTTTTGCACTATCTGTGCAGATGTCATTAGACAATGGAATTTCGTTAGTTGTAAACAACTCGCCCAGCAAACGGAATATTTGGCATCTGTTGCATGGCAGAAAGTGGCTTACGCAAGAGAGGTTCCTCCTCGAAACATCCCGAGTATTCATAACGGAAAAAGCTAATAAAATAGCTAACCCCGCGGCGTCAGTGGATTCGTCGATTTGGAATGAAATCAGTTATGTTGGATGCGAGAAACCAGCGATTCTTTCACATAATTTGATAAATCAAATATCCGTCTTTTGAACGTATTGTAACATATAAGTTTTATTGCTTTTCTTCAAGCACACGACATAACAAAGGGTTTTTCACGCTTTTAGTGAGTTTTTATTTACATTTTTACATGAGTTTAAATGAAGGTTTGAGAAGCAGTCTTCAGTGCTTATTCTCATGAAAAAAATTAGTGTTTCTTCCGGAGTTCTGGGTGTGTATCCTCGAAATGACGACGCAATTTAACTTGTGAACTGTGTAGAAGGACTTTGGCGCAAATCGCAGACTGAGCTTTACCTTATCAGCCTCTATAAATCCCAAATCTAAGCAGCTACCGTGGTACAAACTGTTTTTAGATATTCCACTGGCTATTCAACTATTTTAAACATCTATTCGGGGACTTGTAGAATTTGAATATTCTGGATCCTGGTGTGATGCTTCATTTCAAGAATGTTCTTGATTTCAGAAATGTACTCTTCGGAAGGCTATCCTTCCCCTCGTCAGTTCCAATTCGACCCTTTCATGGTTATGTAGGTGATGGAGAAACTGCATGTTTCCTCATAGTTCCTGACTTCAGCTATCGACCCATATTGGAGTAAAAAACTGATCAATGAGAATGAAACAAATAGAGAACTTTGAGCTTCAATCACACCTTACCTATTTGGCTTTCGTGTTCAAAATAAACATATAATGAATAAATAAAAATAAAAAACTTTCGTTTTCAATACTCATTGTTATTAGTTTTTAAAAAGTAAGTTTTTTTTTAAACAGCAGGAAGTTTAAAAGCCCCATTCAATGCAAAAATGTGTGCAATAAAAATATAAAGGCGCAGTTCGATGAGAAAGTTCTAT